TGCTTACGCATTTTCCACGCAAACAGTTAACTAAAGAATTACATTCCTATGTGTACACGAGGCATTCCTAATTAAAAATATAGATTTATGACTAAATAATTACTGTCCGAAATAGTGTCTTTTGACTCTGTCACATAAGTTCTGCCATGCTGGGTAATACCCACGGTGTTTGAATGCTAAATAAATATATTCTTCATCGTCCCAAAATGTGTAAGGAAATTTAAGGAAAATCTTGGTATAGAGTATCATATTAAGCTGAAATATCACTTGTATCTTCCAGGGAGGAAGATCTGAGATAAACTTGATCTGCCCGCTCTTTAGTACTCCTATACTAAAGGTGATTAACGCCCTTTTAGCCGTGATGTTGTGTCCATTATTTGTCAACACCGTTACTTTCTTATCGTCATACATAATAGACTTTACCCTGCTGTTCAATTTCAAACGAGAATCATTTTTCCTTAAGAACTCTTCGGCAATTTTCTCAATTAAAAATATAAATCCTCTTTGATCTGTTACAAACATTTGTTTTCCCAAAGGCGAGTGAATCGAGCAGTGCGTTCGCATGTGTGTTCTGCTCGAAATATATTTTGGTGGAACGCCATATTCGAAGTCAGCCTGTCCATATTCTGTAACTACTTCTTCGGGAGTCGAAGGATACCATCCTGCTAATCTCAAACCGACACGCCATGAAATATCTTCTTCTTTTTTCTTTCTTCTTTCGTCTCTCATCTTCTCCATGACAGCGCGAGCTTGGTTGAATTTATCAAGGTGTCCTTTGGCTGTTGCGTTTGCACCGGTATTGCCATCACGAACGATGTACGATCCCACTTCTATTTTCCCCTGCAGTCCGTATTTTTTTGCGAGAGTAGCCAGAGGATTGTGCTTTATTCCTTGTATCCAGTTAGCACCAAGTTCAATCGTAGTTCCGTGGAATTTTACCTCTTTAACTCTCCCCCCTATTCGATCAGCACCCTCTAGAATAATGAAATCTTCGATACCCGCCTTGTGCAATGTCTGTGCTGCAGCTATTCCACTTATACCAGCACCTAGAATCAATACATCAGTGTCATAATGAAAATCTTGTTCTGCACCAACCAAAACAGGAAAAAGGATGACAAATAAAAAACACCTGGACGAGAGTAGTTGACAAAGCAGCATTATCACGGCGATGTGTTGCGTGTTGCCTTCAGCCTCCTTTATTTTAATTGGCTGGCGGAAAGCCATTGGGCCATCACGGGATTAGGTATCACAGTAGGGTTGAGCAACAGAGCAGTGAGGGAGGACGACGAATTATAAATGTACTATGCCTATATAAAGCTTCGACTCGTTTAACTCTGACACGACGTTTTGATAGGCTGGTCTGGAAGAGGGCGGTAAGACGGTCGGAGGGAGGTCAGATGTAAAGAGCTGAATGTAGAGTGAACCCAGACAATGACAAATTAAAATCAAATTACAATATATTAGTATTACAAATTATAAAGATTCGGTGCGAATTTAAAATAAACATGACTATAAATAAGTCATCACTTCAGTGCGTTGTCTCGATTGAGTTACAATCAGTTTTTCGTGAATATATAACCATGGATTAAAAGGAAAAAAGACGACATGGATACAGGCAAATAAATTGCTCTTGTACCACATCTAGTTCGTTAATGGCTTACTTTTAATATCTTTTTCACTAGTTGAATCTCAAAAAACTCCACTATTTGACGTTCTTTCGTTTGCATGTCAGCACACGGTGCGCTTTGCATTCGGGGTTTGTTTGCGTGTAGGCTGAATATGCTGTGGTTTTATTTTTCTTTGGCACGGCTTCTACATATAGTCTTACGTGTAAAACACTTTAACTTTTGAGAACATTTTAGAGTATTCTATGAATATTTCATTTTTAATTTATAATTAAGAAAATTTGTCCTAAACGAACTACGTCACTTCCTGTATGATAAGCTGTACGGAGGTGAGCTGGGTCTAGTATTGGTTTGTTTTCAGAGCAGATAAATATGAAGAAAAGATCGACGAAAAATGCTTTAAAAACATACTTTAAACCTATTTGGTCGTATATAAACCAGAAAAGAAACATCTAAGGAGGACAAAGTACTATTTAACGATGCCTGGGGAAGTGAGAAATCCGTTAATTCACGCTAGAGACCGATTATTCCGGGCTCTGTTTTTCAAGATGGCTCTGATGTACGCAAGATCTTTTCCTCCTATGGTCCGAATATTACTTGAAATGGGAGTCCTCTTAAAGGTAAAACAATCTATTATACCACTCTTTAGTCTGTGAAACAAACTCGTACACTTTAGAGCTCTTGCCAAACCCTTCATTTTATAGATTTTCATTGAATAATATAGCATCATTGTCATGTGTTGTCTGTGAGAAAGTTCAAGGTTTTCCTTCTGATTAGCACGTACACGTATGTATAGGGTTCAGAAAAGTCTGGATAGTATTTCGTAATCTTCATTCCCGAGAAATTTGAACTCCTCCTAATATTTATTCAACGAAAATTTATTTTTATTTCCCTATAGAATACTTAAAAGCAATTGAAGTTAAATGAAATTTTGAATAACATACATATTAATTAAAATAAATGCTGAAAATATTCAAGAAATTAGAAGTGACGTGCCAAGTTTTTAATTGGTTTCGTCCTTCAAAAATGAGTCATTTATATCATATTACTTGGTTAATATATTAATATATGAATTCTGACTCAAAAAATTGATTTTAAAGTTAAAATGATATGAATATAAACAGTATAAATATTCTTAATTTTTGTATTTATGTTGAATAACTCTTTTATTTTCAGGCGATTATATGTTTCATTATCTTGGCATATATTCACAACGCATTCTCCAGAACCCCCATTAATTGCCTAGATAATGTTAAAAACACATGGCCTAGAGATGGCGTTTTGAGGGTGACAATATCAAGGGGACAAGCCGTAAGAAAATTATCAGAAAATGAACTAAAGCATAATATATCCAATATAAATAATATGTCATTGGTTAATACAAGTATAAGCAATCGGTCAATGATTGGGAATATTACAGACTATGAGGATATTATGGTAAAAGAAGGTGATGACAACTCAACGGCAGAAATTTATGGTTTGATACCTAATGGCAGACAAGAGAAGAACCAAGTTCCTGTTAGAGATACCCTTGTGCCTTCAGCATTTGATTTTCTTGGTCACAATAAAGAAGGTTTGTGTAGCACCATTTCAACCTTAACGTCATGCTGCTTATTATAATGAGCATGAAACAATTGTAATATTTATGTACAAAAAAGAAAAGATTTCCTAATTGTTCTTTAATGTCACTTCTGAATGTTCATTAACTTAATTACAAGTTTTCTCTATAAAAAATGTGGCTGACAGCAAATGGTAGTGAGTGTTTGACCACCATTTGGAGGATAATAACCCAGCCATTTTTTTGAACCCCGAAACAACCTCTGGGTTTATCTATAACAACAAGGAATGGAAGGGGGGTCCGGATCCCTAATTATGTGCTATTTTTTCCCGCATGTTGCAACAATTGTAAGCAACAAACAAATTCAACATATTCAGAGGCGTTTGAATAAATTAAAATAAAAAAATAAATTTAGTTCCCCTTGTTAAATTTTTAGATGAGAAGAAAGATGAATATTCCATGGAGTATTCCCTTGAGTACGGTTTCCTCAGATTATCACCTGAAGCCAGACATAGGCTGAACATCACTGTTATGGTTGTGAAACTAAGTAAGTACCAGTTGTCATGTTTTATGTACTCCCTATATTAATACCATTACTTAAGTACATGTATACAGGAATTTCAGAATAAGCCAGGCTACGGCTGTCTACTATAATCTACTTTCTGTTCCTTGTATCAGATCACAGCCAGCTACTTCAAACTTATAACCACCTACCTCAAAACATTCTGAAAACCCTGGTATACTGTATATACCCTATGGACTTGATATTCTAGTATTGCTTTCAAACAAGGGTTCCTAATTTACCTGGAGGAGATATAATGATTAATTATTTTATTGCATTGTCTATTCTATCTATAAATTTTGCTCATTAGGGATGGGATTTATAGCCTGAAAGCTGATATTTTCTAATGCTTCCTAACTATACTCCATTGGGAACAATGTTAATTAGTACATATCTATTATATCTATATATATATTGATATGACCAAGGACCAAGTCAAACGGACAATCGCATTTCAACTACAACCAGATTTCTTTCAACACTTTAATTATTTTAGTATATGGGCTTCAGTGACAGGGTTCTCTACATTATCCTTGTTAACAGATCCTGAGGAAGAGAAGTGCTTTGGTGATGCACTAAGCCGGTTTCTACTGGATGAGTTTCTTGGCTATGATGATGTTTTGATGTCCAGTATTAAGAAACTGGCTGAGAAGGAAGACAATAAAGGTTAATATACAGTTAATACAGTTTTCTAGCTTGGGAGTAATGTTTTCCCATTTTCGTTTTTTTTATATTTAAACATAAATATAGTTTCTATAAGTTGTCTACAAAAGCTCTCATGTGGGCTCATCTAGGGAGATCACTTTTAGGTTCATCAGCATAGGTCAGGCTATACTGTAGTATACTTACTGACTTGTATAACATGATATTTAATAGGATACCTGAGGAATGTAGTGACTGGTGATCACTTCAGGTTCATCAGCATAGGTCAGACTGTACTGTAGTATACTTACTGACTTGTATATCATGATATTTGATAGGATACCTGAGGAATGTAGTGACTGGTGATCACTTCAGGTTCATCAGCATGTGGATGGCAAGAAGCTCATACATTGTGGCTTTGATTCTCATGTTTATATTTGTAAGTAATTTCTAATATTTGTCATGAATTAATTTCCATAGATTTATGGGCTATATTACTATAGATTGTTTTTCTAATAGCAATTGAACATTTTGTTTTGTTCTCCAGACTATTTCTATCTCCATGTTGCTGAGATATTGCCATCATCAGATATTTATCTTCATTGGTGAGAAAACTATATTTTTTATTTAGTATATCCTCCCTCCTTGATTTCTTCCTTTATTCATTCCTCCATTTGTTTTGCCATTCCCTTAATCTCTCCTTTTTTCAACCCACCCAACCATTCACCCATCCATCCACCCATCCATCCACTCACCTACCCTTTCACTCATCCATCTACCCACCCATCTGTATCCATCCATCCATCCATCCACCCACCCAACCCCTCCCCCCAATAAATCCAACCATCCATCCATTCATCCACCCATCCATCAGTATGTAGTATGTACTACCAGTATATGTGTAATGTAATTAATGATATTAAATTCTTTTTTTTTCAGTGAATCTACTGCAGATGCTGGATCTGAATGTAACCATTGCATTTCCAGCTGCACCCTTGTTTACAGTCATACTCTCTCTTGTTGGTAAGCAAAAAAGTCCCAGAAATCTTGTCTCATCAGTTATGGTTGCTAAATTCTAATCTGCTAACGATCTGTGTGTTGACTCAGGTCAGCTGTGAAGCTGTTTCAGAGTTCAATAAAATTAATATTAATGTGTGTTTTTGTAGGTATGGAAGCAATAATGTCAGAGTTCTTTAATGACACTACAACTAGTTTCTATATCATACTGATTGTATGGACAGCTGATCAGTATGATGCTATCTGCTGCCACACGCAGCAGAGCAAGAAGTTCTGGCTCAGGTTAGTATCCAAACTATACTCCTTTGTTACTCCTTTATTTTATTGCAGTAATTTTTGCTGGAATGATATACTTTTGTCCTTAGTTTTGCAATTTTTTTCAATGCTTCAGACTGCATTCCTTCTAGCATAAATAAGGTTCTTATTTGTATCATAACAAATATAGCTGTTACAAAATGAGATGATAGATATATTTGAACACTTTGTAGTGAGTGGATTTATAGAAGTTTCAAAGCTGCTGTCAAAAATGAATTATCGTTATGTTCCCTTAGGTTTTTCTACTTGTATCATTTTGCTTTCTATGCGTACCACTATCGCTTCAATGGTCAGTACAGTGGACTGGCACTAGTGACGTCATGGTTGTTTATCCAGGTAAGTTGGTTATTCACTAAGCTGTACTCAACATTTGTCTTGATGTCGTACCACAACCACTACCATTTGTATGAATAAGTATATGTAATAGGACTCCATGCTGTCCAATTAAGAAATAATTGGACGAGGAAAATTCCGAGGCCTGACAAAATTGGATGAGGCTGAGGCCGAGTCCAATTTGGCAGTCAGAGGAATTTTTCGAGTCTAATTATTTCTTGATTGTAGAGCATGAAATCCCATTACCTATTATATATAGCTGCCTAATTAATCCCATATCAACAGACCTGTCCAATTAAGAAAATAATTGGGCAGTTACCTATATGGGATTAATGAGAAGCTGTATAATTATACTATTCATAGTAATACTGCCTGATGAAGACACAGGTCAGAGTCAAACATTAATTTTGTACTCTGAAAATATTTTAGATGTCATTCATTTATTTACTTTAATAATGATCAGAGATTATCCTAACAATAATACTCATATCATTAATACTCTAACAATAATAATATTAGTGTTACAACATGCTATTACCACCCAGAGATCAGTTTGGAATTGTGTCTGAGTTCAGTCTAAGATTATAATCTTTTTTCCAGCATTCTATGTTGTTTTTCTTCCATCACTACGAACTCCCTGCGATTCTAAGCCAGGCTCAGCAATTGAATCCTGAAGATGATCTTCTGGCTGATCCGATACACTTCCTTACAGATGAGGCACAAATTCCTATCCCCCCTGCTGAACAAGCATTACAGAATAATGCGTTACCTGACAATCTACAACAGAATAATGCGTTACCTGACAATTCACAACAGAATAATGCGTTACCTGACAATCTACAACAGAATAATGTGTTACCTGAGAACCCGACACAAAACAATGAGTTACCTGAGAATTCATTACACAATAATGTGTTACCCGAGAATCCTTTACAGCATCATTCCTTACATGACAATTTGTCATCAAATATTGCGTTACCTGATAATTCACCACACAATAATGCGTTACATGCATTACAGAATGAATCTTTACGAAATAATATGTTACCAAAGGGTGTGTTACAAAATGATACCAAAGACGTTGATGCATTACAAAGTAGTGCGTTACCTGCCACGTTATTACAAAACAGTTTAGTCAATACTACATCACATCATAGTGAAAGCGTTACACTAAGCAACGCAGTTGAAAATGAAGACTTTGACAGTGAGACAAAGCTACCATGTAGTAGCCAGGCAAGGACATTAAGCTATGAAACCACAAGTGAGTAGGCCTTTTGAATGATTACATAATTATATTGTTGTTTACAAAGGTTTTGTGGTTCTGTTTTAATCAGTTGTATGTTTCTTATGTTTATAAAATAACTGTTATAAATCTTGCTTTCTGATTGGTTGGGAGTGCGTGCTTTATGAGAGCATACAGCATACATGTGCCCTTTGCATTTTATATATGAGACATGAGAAAAGGGAAAAAGTGGGGGGGGGATGTAGCCCCCTGCCCCACCCCCTCCATGGCCCCTGTTAAAGCTGTTAAGCCAAGTGGTTGTTTGGGTGTGTGTTTGGATAAGGTATTTCGTGACTGTGTGGGTCACTGTGCTGTGTGTTTTGGGAAGACGATAACAGTATTTCAGTATTTCAATATTACCTCCTTTGAACCCTTCCTTTTGATTCTAATTGTTGTTGTTGTTCTTTAAATAATTAAGGTATAGAGCCAGGTGCCCTTACTCACAGACTTGGGAACCTTACTGGTCCTTCAAGGTCCACTAAAAAGGAGGACTCTGGTGTTCCTACGTCACCTGGGAGTTCTTCAGAGAAAGAGTTGAGTGCAGGGACCGAGGCAGGTCTTTCATTAGTGCAAAAACAAAAATCAGGTCAGTTAATCAGTGCTCTCTGTAGACCCCTTTATATTGGAGGTAGTGTTTCTCCATTTCAAATCAAGCCTTTCCCTAGAGTAACATTGTTCAGTGCTCGAACACGAGAAGACACATTAATGTGGATACAACTCAAACGAAGAATCCTATTCTCAAGAGAATGACATGTGGTCTAAAATGGGACAACATTATGCCCAAGCTATGGCTACACTACATGATAGTCTTTGTTAAAGTATGTAATCCCTTGTCTTACATCTCTATACCTGTTGTTCTTATTTCAGAGTGAACCTGGTCGAGTTTCTTTGCTGATTGATTCTCAGTTCACTCATTAAGCAGTTGGTCGTACATGGTCACATGTACAGCCCATGGTTACCACGAAACCATGGTAACCCCACAAAAAAAAGAAACAGTGATATTGCATAATAATAACTGCAATAATATGATCATGATTCACGAATCTGCTTAGACAGGAAATAATGAGTGAAATCCGATAATCTATTACAGTTTGATTGCTTTAAAAATAATATACAGCGATTAAAGAAGAAGAATACCAAGATCTGCATGGGATTGTAATCCCTAAATGTTTATATTATGACGTCATTATTTCAGATGACGTCACTTGTCAAAATTGACGTCAAGATGAAGATGTTAGCTGAAGCTGTCAAAATGTAAGAATATGGATTAACCTAAATTTAATGGAAGAAAAAGGAAAGCTTACTATAAAAGAAATGCATGTGTCTGACACGTCTATTGTACATTCATCTAGTTGTTCTAGCTCTTGTAGCAAGGATGGGATATATGCTTGCTCCTGTCTACCATACTCTTTTATTTCTCAAGAAAACCAGTCAGTTAATTATTGAGCGGACAACATTCAAGGGTAGCACAATTTTGAACAACAATCCTTTGCGCGCTCTGTTCTTTTATTATTATTATTCTGTGTTTATTTGTCAGTATTCAAGTAAATCAGTTTCAGTAACAGTTACGACTAAACAGTTCCGACTGTGAACCAGTCAATTCCGAGGCAGTTAGGTGTGGTACTTAAGACAGGTTATATAGTACAGGAGGTTAAGGCACGTTTGTAAGGGGTTGGGCTACCTTGGTGCTAGAGACATCAATGCCAAGTCGGCCCAGTGTTTGCCTCGACCTCTGAACGGCTAATATGTATATGATATTGATGTGTGATGATAATACATGGAAGATTCTAGTAAAGTTGTAGTATGGATATGTTGAAAACTTTATTTATCGGGGAAAAGCAGGACTGTAATAAAAGTATGAATTAGATAGAATTAGAATAAATAAAAGTATTTAATAAAATAAATGATCGTGTGATTTGAATTACAGTTTTTCCCCTTAACCTGCCAATATAAATAGTTAAATATCGCATATTTCTTACCAATATTTTACATATTTTCAAACTACAAAAACTAATAACTAAACAACTATAGCTTTAATTTTTTAATATAAAGATCATCTATCTATTTAATAATTAATATTTTAATAATAATAAATATAATAAACTAATAATTTACCCCTGGTCAATCGAAATATTTACCATCCAAAATAAATATATATTTTAAATTAATCAGTTATTTTTATCACGGCGTAGATTCGATCTTTGGTTCTTTTCTTGAGATGACTTCTCTAGAACGAACCTGAAAAAAGCTGAAAAATATCAAAAGAAAAATTTTCGATATTTAAGCAAACTACATAAAAATCAATCAGGCCAGTTATCGTACCAAGTGTTCCTCGGTTTCGTTATTCCAACAGCTCTTGCTCTTTGTACAAGAAATGGATTATCACATACGCATGCTCAGTATTCATTCAACCGCTGGCCAAGTAATATTACTTTACTCGTCCTGGTTTTCTTGTAATAGTCTCGTCAATTCTATTCTTTCAGCTTCTTATAACTCTGTTTCTTTAATATCATTTGCCAGTAGGTCGTTATCCAGTACGTAATAAGGAAGAAAGGGGGCTGGATCTAACTCGTATTGATTTGTCTCAGAGGTACTGGTACTAGGATCCATATAACGAGATTCTGTTTCGGGATCGTGATGTTGGTGTCTAGGATAGGATAGAAGTACAGTAGCATCAGTAGTGCATTGCGTGTATTTTCAGTGCAAGATCGCGACCAAAGGCTATTCTGGGCAAAAAGAAAGGGAGAAGTCACACGCGGGATTCCACTCTAAACCAATCAAAAGTCAACAGAAAAATCACGCCATCCAATCAGAATGCCAACTCTATCTACTCAACGTCTTTCGCTCTTAAATCACGACAGGTCAGTGGAAAACTCGTACAGATATAACTGCACTTTCTAACCTGATAAACAGCTCCTGCTCCGAGGTCAAACTCTCGTTACTTGCTTGATTTGATATAGTCCCTGGCTCCTGTTGACCTGTTAGCTGTAGCAAACTACAATTTGTAGATAACTGGATTTCTTCAAAGTACCCGTCCATATCACTGTATGAAGAACAGCAATGGAATCGCTTCATTAGTCAAGTGACAGTTTATTAGTGCCATAAAAAAGTTGGTCTGGGTCAGCCAGTCATCAGGTCCGATCAGATTGTCTGACATTCTTAATGATCGATTGGTCGTCTATAGGTCGATTGGTCGTTAAGTCCATAGGTCGATTGGTCGTTAAGTCTATAGGTCGATTGGTCGTTAAGTCCATAGGTCGATTGGTCGTTANAAGTCCATAGGTCGATTGGTCGTTAAGTCTATAGGTCGATTGGTCGTTAAGTCCATAGGTCGATTGGTCGTTAAGTCTATAGGTCGATTGGTCGTCTATAGGTCGATTGGTCGTTGAGTCTATAGGTCGATTGGTCGTTAAGTCTATAGGTCGATTGGTCGTTAAGTCTATAGGTCGATTGGTCGTTAAGTCTATAGGTCGAT